GTATTTTAGAAAAAAGTATCGTCTTATAGTCAGAAAAATACGGTATATATATATATATATATATATCTCACATATACACACAGAAATATGTGTCACAGAGAAACACACAAAGTTAAATTAAATTTATATTTACAAAGTTAAAGCATCAAAGGTAGGTTTTCACCCTCAGCTTTTAAATAGACCAAATAACCTTTGGGCTATTTGAGGGCTGGGTGAAAGCCTTGTACTTCAGATGACTGGAAAATCCGTGGAAATGGGGAAAAAAAATAAAGCAAATGGAAGAGGAGGAAGCTCAAAAAAAAAAAAAGTAATTCAAAACAAAACAAGTTCCTGTTGGGTTTTGAATCAGCAACTTTTCATTTTTAAGGCAAATATTTATTGATTATTCTATTATAGTAGTAATGTTAGAAGAGAGGTCTCAAAGGTATTAGAGATAATGCTAAACATTGGCTCAGAAGAGGTGGCTCTTCCTTTGCAAAATAGCCAATGAACTGCAACAAAAATGAAAGCCCTCTATCCTAAACAGGTAGGAACATTCAGCCCCACACAGGGAAGAAAATGAACACTGATGTTACTTTCAGAGTTGAGTGGAGGATTGAAAGAAGGTGACATTGTCCATTCTCTCTTCAGAAATGGTTATAGGCTAGTTTGGACAATGGAGTAAGAGGTAAACTTGGATCCATCCTCTGTCATATGATATGGGCTTGTCCTACCATTGCCCCATTTGGGTTTACTATCAGTAAGTTAGTATGCTGTTACAAAGACTACTATGGTTTATTAATGTGAATGTATTTTTTTATTTATATACCTAATATTTTGAATTTATCATTATATGAACAATTGTATATTTACCAAACATGGGGTAGAGCAAAAACGATTATTGACAATTTCAACCCCAAAACTACCGTTTGTTCACTCTCTGTTTATGAAGTGATTTTACACTGATGTATAGGAAAGACTAGTTAAAATTAATCCACATGATCAAAGTTGAGTGATATTTGCTGAGTAATTTTTTTCCTATGTAACATAATGTGCTTTTGGTGGCCTTTCTTGCTTTTTTCCTGGTTTTTGTGTTCTTGCGTTCTTTTTTCTAGTCTTTTTAATTCTCTTTTCTGAGCTAATTTAGAAATGTCTTTTTACTTGCTGACCTCATTTTGGTTGTTCCTTTCCAAAGTATATTTAAGCCAAAGAAATTAGCTATCTGAAAAAAATTGCAAACATTTATAACTGGATCTGAATTAAACATTTATCAATGATTTTTAAAGCATAATTATCCTACAGTGTTAAAAAAATTTTCTCATGACTGTGTCCCACTGAGTTTATGGGAACACATTCCCATGCATTTATACAAAGGATTATAATCTGGGGTCTGGTTTTATTTGGATGTACTTTAACTTGTCGATTCACCGCAGACGGAGACTGCAGCCATGAAATTAAGAGACGCTTGCTCCTTGGGAGGAAAGCTATGGCAAAACTAGATACCATATTAAAAAGCAAAGACGTCTCCTTGATGACAAAGATAGGCATAGTCAAAGCTATGGTTTTTCCAGTAGTAATGTATGGCTGTG